CCACTCAACCACTAGATGTCGCTGAAAACAACAAATCCTACACACTGTGCCTTTAAATCCTAAATCCAAATATAAAGGCTAAATCTTAAATGTTGTGGCTAAATGTTGAACTTTACGTTTAAGTATAGAAATAGAATTACTTAAATGTAAATTTCGACAGGAAATGAAAGGCGTTGTTTGCTTTTGGTGCTTGGCTCTTATGTCATCACCCTGAGACAATAGCAATCAACGCTGCTAACGCTACAAGTTCACATTTAGGTAATTTGGAATGGAACTCAGCCTTTGCTGTTGGTGCTCAGCTCAGGCTCTTATGTCATCACCCTGAGACAATAGCAATCAACGCTGCTAACGCTACAAGACATCAAACTTGCAGTTGCGGCCGGTGTCCGAGCTGCACTTTCAACTGCTGGACCACATGTAGCATTTTTTGTTGTTTTCAATGAACAGATTTAAAATTTAAATAAAATCTTTAGCAGCGGTTTGCAGCAACTAGCAGCATTAGACGTCATCATCCTGTGACGAAAGCAACCACTAATGCTGCTATCGTTGCTGAAGATGGCACAACATAAACACGACATATAAGATTTAATAGAGTTAAGATTTAATATTTACGTATATCATTTATCATTTAGTAAAATGCAAGAACAGTGAGCTAAATTATAAAATGTTAGTGGAAAATTTAAARTATTTTTCACTCAGAAAGTGAACTAAATATTGTAAAGGCATCAGTGACTATTCTTGACATTTTCTTTTCACTTGGCACACCATAACATTTCTTATGTTTATATTGAATACATTGCACAATCATCCGTTATGTGCCTAAGATGATGTGGGTGAAAATACTCTAAAACCTTACAGAGGTCTTATTTTGTTTTTRTTTCATGCTTCTCTCGAGACTGATGTGTCTCTCTGCATTCTCCATTTTTTTTAAATCATTCAGTTTTCTTTTTAACAGTTTCATAACTCATATATCTCTGATTTTTCTTGTTTCTGTACGGTCCTATCTGCTGGTTTCTCCTTCATATGTAACGTGTGGCTTTCAGGTGCACCAAATGCAGAAATTAGAAAGAAAATAAAGTGCAATAAAATTATTTCTCTTAAATAATAAAAGGGACTCTGGTGCCGCTTCATTTCTCTTTTTTATTTTTATTTTATTTTGTTTTGTCTGATTTTTTGTCCTGTTTGTTTTGTTTTTTTTTCCTTCCATGCCACTAAATTGTTCTCAGTCATTGCCTAACATGTAGGTGTTTTTTATGCAAGGTCAGGGTTCCACAGCTCTACTGTTTGAACATTTATGTCTGCAACATTTTGGTTTGGCATTGGTTTTAGATTTATCTTTTAAATTGTTGCACAAATTCAAAATTTTATCTTTTTAAAAAGAGTTACTGTGGACCCCTGAACCCTTCATTTATTAAGCTTTTCTTTAACTTTCAAATTTCATTGCTGTTTCTACCTGTAGAAATTCTTTCCTATAACATCTAAAGCAACTCATAATCTGTATAATGTCTAATGTTACACTTAGAGGATTCCCTTTAAAATGCAGGCTTTCATATTGAGTGACTCCCTTAAGTCATTACAAAAGTTTAAATTAATTGTTTGTTATATACAGGTTTTTAAACAGTTTTCCAGATTTTGAAATTGTAAAATCACCACATCCACTCTTTATTTAGCTTTTTTTAATTTGAAGAGGATTCCTTATTTTATGTCCAAAATTGAGAACAAACTCTCTTCCCAGCTTCAAATATAGGCTCATATGTTGGAACTGTTGATGTCCCCAAATGACTGTATCAAACATTTTAGTAGATCTTACCATACCACAATTAAAAGTCCTTGGCAAGCCACACTATGTGGCTGTCCTCCATTTCACTCATCCATTTTGCTCTTAAAGTGAAGGATMGATGGTAAGTAGCTTCATCTTTTTTTTTTGTTCTAAAGCATTTCATTCAGAAATCTTTATGTGGAATTGCTGATTGACAACAAATCTGTCAAGTCAGACATCAATCAAAAGGCTAATCTAATCCAAATAGTCTTCAGTGTATTTGTCATGAAGACGTCTGCTTTTAATTGTTCCTTATTGGCTGCATTTTTAAACTAAAAAGCAGCTGTTTTTTTCCCTGAGGCTATAGCGTTTGATAAAATAATTGGTGCAGTTTACTTTTACTGATTTACAGTTTTTGCGTTCATACAGTGGGTAAAATAAGTATTGAACACGTCAACATTTTTCTCAGTAAATATATTACTAGAGGTGCTAATGACATGAAATTTCCACCAGATGTTGGTAACAACCCAAGTGATCCATACATACAAAGAAATCAAACCATAAATGTCCAGAAATGAAGTTATTTGTAATAATGTGGAATGGCACAGGGAAAAGTATTGAACACATGAAGAAAGGGAGGTGTAAAAAGGCATGGAAAGCCAAGACACCAGCTGAACTCTCTCAGTAATTAGAAAGCAAGCCTGCCCCTTGTCAGTGCAAGTTAATATCAGCTGGTTCAGTCCCAAATGATGGCCAGGTATCACACAAGAACCATCTGATGATGGGTAAAAGTAAAGAGCTCTCTCAAGACCTTCACAACCTTATTGTTGCAAAGCAAAATGATGGCATCGGTTACAGAAGAATGTCTAAACTTCTGAAGGTTCCAGTGAGCACTGTTGGGGCCATAATTCAGAAGTGGAAAGAACATTATTTCACCATAAACCGACCACGACCAGGTGCTCCTCACAAGATTTCTGACAGAGGAGTGAAAAGAATTATCAGAAGAGTTGTCCAAGAGCCAAGGACCACTTGTGGAGAGCTTCAGAAAGACCTGGAATTAGCAGGTACGTTTGTTTCAAAGAAAACAATAAGTAATGCACTGAACCACCATGGCCTGTATGCACGCTCACCACGCAAGACTCCACTGCTGAAGAAACAGCTGCACAACATTTAAACAAGCCTGTGTAATACTGGGAGAATATAGTCTGGTCAGATGAGACCAACATTGAACTGTTTGGATGCCAGAATACACATCATGTTTGGAGGTCAAATGGCACTGCACATCAGCCCAAAAACACCATACCAACAGTGAAGTTTGGAGGTGGGAACATCATGGTGTGGGGCTGTTTTTCAGCATATGGTACTGGCAAACTTCAAATAATTGAAGGAAGGATGAGTGGGAAAATGTACAGAGACATTCTTGATAAAAATCTGCTTCCATCTACCAGGATGATGAAGACGAAACGTGGCTGGACATTTCAGCAAGACAATGAGCCCAAACACAAAGCCAAGGAAACTCTCAGTTGGTTTCAGAGAAAGAAACTAAAGCTGCTGGAATGGCCCAGCCAATCACCTGACCTGAATCCAACAGAAAATCTATGGAAAGAACTAAAGATCAGAGTTCATAGAAGAGGTCCACGAAACCTTCAAGATTTGAAGACTGTTTGTGTGGAAGAATGGGCCAAAATCACACCTGAGCAAYGCATGCCACTAGTTTCTCCATACAGGAGGCATCTTGAAGCTGTCATTGACAACAAAAGCTTTTGTACAAAGTATTAGATAAATTTCAGTAAGTGTGTTCAATACTTTTTCCCTGTACCATTCCACATTATTACAAATAACTTCACTTCTGGACATTTATGGTTTGATTTCTTTGTATGTATGGATCACTTGGGTTGTTACCAACATCTGGTGAAAATTTCATGTCATTAGCACCTCTAGTAATATATTTACTGAGAAAAATGGTGACGTGTTCAATACTTATTTGACGTGCTGTATTTTTACTTCTTCACATTCATTGTTACACTTGTTTCGCCAATGTATGCAGACGTAATTAAAACTGTGAATAACTGAAAGGAAAAAAAGGCATAAAGCAGCCMAGGAAAATTCTGAGTCATACACAATATTAAGAAAAATTGGTTTTATGAGTCTTTTTTTATGTAAGTGTAAATTTTTTACGTCAGTTATAAGCGAGGGCTTGTATTTTGCAGGTAAAAACAGGAAAGCGTCCCGTTCCACTCGCTCCTCGGCAGGACTTCAGTCTCCAGACTACCCGACGCTGCCTCTGTTTTCTTCAGATGCTCTGCAACACAACAGCAAAAACCAGCGCACAAAGTTCCCAAAAGGCTTCTTCGTCAAGCCTTCGCTGAAGGGTTTCAACTTCCGAGGGCTGCGTAAAACCCAAAGACGCTCGCCCATCCCAGCCAGCCGCAGCTGTGAGGACCTCGACGGTCCGCCACAACCTACTGGACCCTGGAAACGTTCCCACTCTCTGGGAGATCTGCAGTGGGAGCAGAATTTGGAGCAGAAAGGTGATCTGAGGGTTGTGCTAAAACCCACAAAGGAAATGCCCAGATCAGGCAACAGCAGTCCCGTCAAGGTGTTTAGAGAGGAACGTTCTCCGATTAAAAATGTCACTCCAACAGTAAGCCCTAAAGGGAGAGTTGATAGACCACCCATACCATCCCAACTTCCTCTTCGCTCCTCATGTCCGACAATCCAGTCCTCCCACCCTACTGAACCTCTCTCAAGTCCCACTCCAAGTCCTCCTGATTCTAGTGCAAGTGGGGAGAGGGTCATCCTGACTCATACCAAAAAGCCTCCCATCCCGCCTCCCGTTCCTGCCAAGAAATCGAAAGAAAGACTAGCCAACGGCATCCGTCACCCATCTCTATCCCTGTCTTCCTCGCCGTCCCCCACCGCCTCGCCGACGCATTCCTTTCATCGTTCTCAACCAAGCAGCCCCGTAACCCGCAGCCCAATCCCCAGCCCCATCCTCAGTGCCCCGGCTCTACCTGCCAAGACCATGAGTCCGCCAGCGAGTCCGTGTGCCCACTCTTTAGGCGACGAATCAGACTCGGCACCAGCTGTGCAGCCTCCATGGCTCTCAGATCTTGGAGGTAAAATGGCCGTTACGAGGAAGCTCTCCCACAGCAAAATGAGTCCTGATCTGCACTCCCTGCTGGAGCAACGGCTGCTGGCTGAGGGCATCGATCTGACTGAGGAGCCTTACTCTGGCAAGGTAAGCAATGCATCTGAAGGAATCTATCGGTTAGCTACTGATGTTAAAAGCACTACACCATTTTCTTAGTTTGCCTTCTAAGTATTRACTTTTATGATCTATTGTTTGACGATTGTTATGTCTTGATTAAAATAGGTTTAGTTACATGCCCAAAACATTATCACAACACATAAGAAACCATTTCTAAATCATTCGGTGAGAATTGCTGTTCAGAGTGGCCTGCAATGCAGCCGTAGGCCTGCAGGGGGCGCACCAGGCACTGAAGAACTGTGTATGTATAAAAGACCCGAACTTCCGGTTTGTTTTAGCGTTGCTATTGCCGACTCCAGTYGGGAGGAATAAACAGCTCGCTCGTGCCAGATCTGGTGTTGTATGGTCTAATCTCTTCACACTTCAATTTATTCAACATTTACGTGTTTTCGTCTCGACTTCAGTTAATGAACACTAAATTTTCTTACACATCAATGGAAGCGTAAGAACACCACCTTTCAGTGGTTGTTTTCTTCTTAACTTTAAACTAAATATAAGATGAAGTGGTACAGTAGAAAACTCAGTTTTCAAGAGGACCATATTAAAGTTGGCACACAGCTGAAACGTTTCAAGTCATATTTTCCGCAGTAAATGTGAAAAGTTTAAGATGTTTCTTGGCTAACTTGTTAGGCGTCAGGCTTCTTCAGCCCTTTCAGCACTGTAACATGCTTAACTTAACACAGTCATAATTTGACTTTTACTTGGGTCCAAAATTGTTCTTTGTTGAAGCCAATAACATCAGCAGCTCACTTCAGAACTCTGCAKTCAATTTCAAAATATGCCCAAATAAAACTTGTGCTTCTTGTTGTGTGAATACGCTGGGTGAGGAGGTGTGTGCTTGTCTGCACTAATAAATATGTTGCTTGGATCTGAAGAGGAAAAGACTGTGGCTTCGGTCTCGCTGTGCTGCAGTTCAGATTAAGTTTATAGGCTGAATCTTACTGAAGTCAGACAGGGTCATAAAAACGTTTGGCACTCATCAGACCCCCGGCTCAGTCTCTGAAACATGGTGGAGCCCCTAAGACTGGCAGGAAAACAACACTTGTTCAAAGGAATGAGGTGTGAAAAAGGGCCTGAAACCACAGTAAAGCTCCACTTAAGACTTGAGAGGCATGTTTTTTCCTGTAGTGTTTTTCATTTAGGTAATTTATTGGATATTTTACTGCATTTTCTTGTTAATTTATTTTAGAATTAAAAATACTAATTTCTATAACAGGTTTTTTAAGGTACAAAGTACTCCACGAGAATGGGCGAGGGCCGTTTGGTCTTTCACAAGAACAAGAAATTTCGGACATGATTAAAAAAAATCACAAATAGGAAAGAAAGACCTGATGTTAGGTAGACTTTAATAAAATGCAGGCAGGTATAGCTGAGTGTCATTACCATAAAGATTAAAATGTTCTCTATAGTTTTGAAGAAACTGAGAGGAATAGCAGGGGCCCAAGTATTGATCTTTGAGGTACACCACAGCTCCGCTAAGCAAAGGATCTATCACTAATACGAATAATGGCAAAGGTTCTGCTTGAGAGCTATCAGAGTAAGTCCTTAACACCAATCTATAACTGTAGATCACATGTGTCAAACTCGTCAAAACGTGGGCCAAATGTGGCCAGTCACAGCATTTTATGTGGCCCACAAATCTTCAAAGATAGTGCATGCTGCTTTAAAGCCAGCATTGACCATGAACTGCATCTCCCATAATGCATGTTGATTATTTTATCCATGAAATRTTGGCMTCCCACCACTAAGTGAAGCTGTATAGAGTTCAAAGGTTGCAGGTAATTAGTGAAATTCACTGYATTGGTTTAACACATGCAGTTTCTGTACAACAGAGTGCCCTAAAAACCAAAGGGAAGCTGTTGAAACACTGTTAGTCAGTAATATACAGTTGGTTTTCTGATTGTCTTTAGCCCACTTGAGTGGACCTTGGTGTTTTATTTCTTTTTCCTACTGGATAGGAAATGTAGATTTGTGTGGTTTGAGTGTTTTTCTTTTATTCGTAGTTGAYGTGTCCCTCTCTACTTTTTCCACCGTCAGCATGGCCGATGTGGCATCCCTCAGGCGCTGATACAACGTTACTCCGAGGACTTGGAGCTGCCTGCCAAAGACGTAGCCTCTACAGTGGACCAGCTCCGAGTTAAAGAACTCCGGAAACAACATCGCATGGCTGTAAGGCAACGACAGAACGTTTAGGTAGAAAAACTCCAAACTGATGAAATCTGGAAATGTTTTAATGTATTTCTCTCACTCAGATCCCCTCCGGCGGTTTGACAGAGATGTGCCGAAAACCTGCTCCCACAGGTAACGTCAGCACCGTGTCCGATTGGCTCGTCTCCATCGGCCTGCCCATGTACGCCTCGTCCCTGGCGGCGGCGGGCGTCGACACCCTGAGTCGCGTGGCCTTGTTAACGGAGAGCASCGTGTGGGAGGCCGGGGTGCGGGACGAAAGACACGCCCGTCGCCTGATCGCCGAGGCCAGATCGGTCAATGCACACAGGGAGGTGCGGTCCTAAGCTTGAAATCGACTCCTTTATCTACCATCTCATTTAAAACTTGACCAGAAGGGTGGCCACGGAACTGAAAAGACCACAGTTTGTGTCGACGTCGCTACAGTGCTTCCTGTCCTGCACGTGTCGACACCCTTACCCTGCTCCGCAACTTTCTCTGTTTGACACTTTGAGCTTTCTTAAATGTTTACGGCAGTCAGGCGTTTCTCCTAACAGCCAAGACTCGATATCAGATGCCTTTAAATGAAAAACGAGACTCTGTTGGAYGGCTTCCATTCTGACTACACCTGCAAAGTCTTCAACAAAGAAGACTTGGACCATGCCTTTAAGGATGATAGCACACATTTTGTAGGATCGACATGTTTTTTTTTTTTCATTTTTTGGATCCAGGAAGACGGTTTGATTCTTACGTATTCTATGAGCAAAATGATTTCATCTCTCTTGTGGYGATGCAGCATAATCTGACAGTAAAATCGGGACTTTCAATAAACTAAACCAACACTTTTTTTGTATCATGTTTCTGTATTATAGCATAAAGCACATCTTAATTTTCAAATGATCTATATGTTAAAAGTTGTGTTTGCATTCTGAATGTTACAGCTCTCAGTCACTTCTTAGACAAAACATCATTCCTCTGTATTTCCTTTYATTCCCTGCTAGGATGCACATCTTGCTCTAACATTAAGAGTTATAGAGATACACTTTTTTTTGGCTGTAGTAACCACAATCACCTTTTATGGAAACAGTACATTCCTTGATCTAAGATAGGATGTTTTAAATGCCTTACCAATATGAATGAATTGCTACAGGAAGTAGTTTTGAATATCGTGACTGAGATGGAACAGTGCCAAAACTGCCTTTTTTTTGGTTCAAATTTGTTTACATTTACTTTTTTTTAATTCAACAGCCAGTTACTTTCAATGGTGCACTTATGTGCACCAAAGAAGATGTTTGAGGTTTAGTTTAAGTCTTTGTTCCAAGATGTAAGATATCTGGCAAAGCACAGACATTTTCCTGTGTTGAACGCCTGTTGGGTTACTTTGGTCCRCATTTGTTGTCAAAAAGAAATTAATAATGCTCATGAGTTCCAGATGACATCTTGGCTGCTGTATCAGAAATTTATTGACTGTCTACTTTTTTTTTTTTTTTTAATTAGAGTTCTCAAGGAGCATTTTAAACTTCAAATCAGCATCGGAGCAAAATTGGTGCCGTGTCAAGAAAAAAAAAAAACTAAAAGGAAATTGACACCAGATTTGAAAAWTTTTCTTTAATATTCAGCAAACCAAATTCTTGAAATGCAAAGTACACAGAGAGAGGAGTCAGACTGCTGACGTGTTTTTGTGCAAAAAAGAAAAACCATAACGCTAAACGGAAAATTATGGCGGCYGTCTGGTGACATTGGGTTAAAAAAATGATGTGAAACAGTAAATGAAAGTGGATTACTGCCATGTTAAAACAACTCTAATCCCAAAGCTTTATAGTACGGAGCCCATTTGGTGACATTGAAAAAAAAAGTAAATAGTATAGTTAATGGTCACAAGATAATTATTTAATATAGAAATGAATGACATATATAGTCGCTTGCGGTAAAGTATGAAGTATTTTTTAGCATTATATGTTACAGCTATATGACATGGGTTAGCTTTATTTTTATTAGTTAAACACTCAAAACAGGATTCTCTCTCACCCTGTGATTTTTAGTGAGAGTTTTCACATTTCGGGTGTTGAGCGTCATCTACGAAAAGTGAACACTTTCAATTGAACCACGGAGGTACACTTTTGGGATTAAACTTAAACCAATAAAAACTAATAACAAAAGTGGGGTACCTTTTGAATAACTAAAAACAAAAAACATATTCATAAATAATCTGACTTCAACAATGTCCATCTCTGACAGAGACTGGGCTGCTCAAGTTGGTCGTGGCCACCACTTCTTATCTCGTGGCCACACGTTAATTTTGTTTAATCCAATGTCATCGGACGGTCTCCGCAGAAATATCCAGATCAGTATAATTTTCAATTTCTTTATTCTTTCTTTAATTTTTATGTTTTGCTGTGGGCACTTGAAACAGATATTTGATGCCTTTGTTTCTCTCTGCAATCAAAGTGGTGCTCTGGGAAAGTGAAGATGAGTGTGTGTGGTGTGTGTGTGTGTGTGTGTGTGTGT